CAATGCTCAGGGGTTACTCCTGGCTCTGCGCTCAGGAATTACTCCTGATAGTGCTCAGGGGACCAAAGATCAAACCAGGGTCAGCTGCTTGCAAGGCAAATGTCCTCCCCACTTTCCTTTTGCTCTAGCCCCCATCATTTTCTGACCTGCTGTAGAATCCTTCCTTACTATTTAAACTAACATGATCTGTATTTGGAACTAACATTTCCTGAAAATAAAAACATGTGAAAAGGGTGGAGAAGATGATCTCAATCTGGGCAAGCTTTTAAATTTCATAACCCCCTAAAAACGATGAAGTAGCAGTCTGTATAAACTGACAATATTCAATACTTAGAAAATGAAACTCGTTAGAAAATGCTCCATGTTTTTAAAGTTTTAGTTTAATGATTTCATTCACATCTCTTTACTGCAAAGAATTTTTTTAAAATTCCACTTATCAGGCCGGAGAGACAGATAGTATTGGGGTTAAGGTGCTTGCCTCACACACCGCCAATCCTGGTTGAAATCCCCAGCACAGTCTGCCAAGCACCACCAGGGGCCTCTCCTGAACACAGAGTCAAAAACACCTCCTAAGCAGGCAATGTCTGGTCCAAAAAATGAAAGAAAAACTTTTCATTTATCCCTTAGAAGACCCTGAGTCCAGAAACAATAACAACTTTGTCTTACTACACTACTAATGTGTATATCCGGTTATGCTTGCTTTTCACAAACTGATAAAAAAAAAAGAGTACATTGTGTAAAGTTAAGCAGTTTTGACTCACTCTTCTAAAAAGGCTTTTATTTCCTTTTTTGTCATACTAGGGAATCTAACCCCCAGGATCTCACACAGAAGCACATCCTCTGCCATTGGGCCACATCATGTTCTGTCCGAAAAAGGCTTTAAAAGGCAAAATGAATTCCTAAAAAAGCAACTTAGTTAACATTTAAACTGTAGTGCTTGAAATGAAACCTAATATGACACTGTCATCATCATCTAACTCTTTACATACATTAGGAAGAGGCTTTTTATTGTTTGGGGGGGTCCTGGCAGCGCTTGGGGGGACAATGTGGTGCAAGGGGTGGAACCCAGGTCTCTTGCATTTAATGTATGCACTCAGCCCCGAGACTTTTTTTTTGGGGGGGGCACATCTTGCTGTGCTCAGGGTTTACTCCTGGCGGGCTCAAGAGACTCTCAGGTGCCAGAGATCTAACTGGGGTCGGCAGTGTACAAGGCAAAAGCCGTACCCACTATACTATCACTCCAGCCCCAGCCCTGGAACTTTTTTGGCACACCTGGTGATGCTCAAGGCTTACTCCTGGCTCTGCACTCAGGTATTACTACTGGCAGTATTTGAGTGGCGATATGGGATGCCAGGATTGAACCTGGTCAGCTGCATGTAAGCACCATAACTACTGTACTATCGCTCCAGCCCTCAGCCCTGTGACTTCTGGCCTAGGATGTGACTTTAGTTTTGAAAATAAAAAAGATATGTACTGTAAGATGTTCATGGCTCACCTCACCTGCAATTTTGTTTTACCCATAAAATTGCCACACTTTTCTGCCCGCCCCCCCCCCCCCGCATGCCACCTTCCTCTATAGCTTCAAATTTTCAAACAATTGGGACAGGACTGGAAACATGGTATTTTTGCTTTTTTCTCTTATCTGTCTTACTACCATGGGGACACCAACCATCTCCCTGGTCTCTCAGCGCTGCTCCAATGGACCTGTCCAACATTTGCAGTACCACTTTCATCCTCACAGGAATGGTCAAATCCTTTCTATTTTTATACATTACAGGATTGCCATTGTGGCAGTACTGAGGAGCTCTATCACATCATATAACAATCATCACATAAGTTCCTTTTTACCAACTGGAACCATTAAAATCGAGACCTTGTGCATGTCTGATGGTGAGAAAACCGCTTCAATTCCTTTGTTCTTGTTTTGGGGCCACTCCTGGTAATACTCAAGGGTTACTTCTGGCTCTGCACTCGGGAATTACCCCTGGCAGTGCTCGGGGGACCATATGGGATGGTCCCTGGTTCAACCCAGGATTGAACCCTGGGTTGGCCGTGTGCAAGGCAAATGCCCTACCTGCTGTGCTATTGCTCTGGTTCCTAATAAGGATTCAATTCTTGAACTGCTGCTCCATAGAACCACATAATAGCTATTTGCTTAATGGCTACTTGTTGACTGAATGAGTGAAAATGGAAATTCTTACCATTCAATAAAGGACTGAACATTTTGAAGAATTCTATGCAAAATGTATGAAGCACATTCCATTTCTTTCTGGATGCTTGGTAATAATTTAGCAGCCTCAAATACCATAGACCCAGCATTTGAATCCTATCTAAGTCAGCAAGCATATTTCTGTAGAGTTCATAATCTCCTGCTTTCCCATACTTCCAGAAATTTTCCAAAAATACACCTACCCAAAGGAGGCATTGAGGGTTCCTAATTAATAGGTTTCCAGGTTCATGAATCTTGTTTATAGAATAGCAAACTACCTCTCCCCACCTCTTTTGTCGGGGTTTGGGCCACATCTGGCAGTGTTCAGGGGCACTCCTAGGAGTGCTCAGGGGACCTTATGTGGGGTTAAGGATCAAACCTGGATTGGCTGCGTGCAAGGCCAGCACTTCAGCCCTTTTCCTATGCCTTCGGTCCTGCAAACTGCCTTTTCTAACATGGATAGGCCACAAATCAGGAAAAGCCTAGATGCCCTGTCCATTGTAGTTAGGAAGCAAGGGTCTCCTTTATAAGGAATCCAATGTGACTGTTTGCCTTTTGCAGCCTTTTTTAAGGTATCATAAAAAGAATTTGAGCAATAAGTACAGTACAGTGTAAATCACCTAATGAAAGCACCAAAGGAAATATTACTTTGATGGCAAAGGGAAAAAAATAAGAAATCTAACTCTTGTGCAAATATAAGTAGGGTTTAGTTTCTGAGAATTTACTATGTGCCACAGACCAAACAAAATATGGAGGACACCAAAATAAATAGGATACAATTTCTTTTTTGTTGTTTGGTTCTGGGCTAGACCTGGTGGTGCAGGGGTCTACTTCCAGCTCTGGACTCGGATGATGTTCCTGGCAGTGTTCGGTTGACCACACAGTGCCAGGGATGGAACCTGGGCTTCCTGCATATGATCAGTCCTTCGAGCTGTCTCTCCAGCTCAGAATCCCATGTCTAGCGTTAAGCATGGTTTTGGGGGGAATAGTGGCTACTATTTTGTTTGGTTTGGTTTGGATGGTGCTGAGGATTGAATTCAGAGTCTCACATATGTAAAACATGTACTCCACCGCTGAACTACATCCCCGGCAACTCTGCTGAATATTGGAAAATGGGGTGTAATGCTTTGCAAGGGGTTCGGAATTGCTCAGCATTGTTTTGCTTAAGTTCTTAGGTAGTGAGACAAGGGAAAGGGCCATCATTATCCAGTCAAAAGTATTTCCCAAAGCTGTGCGAGTGTCATAACCTGGAAGTATATGCCACGGTGAATCCGTGTGAGCTCTGTGGTGACCCCCTTCAGCACAACCATAACTTGAGTGCCTTCAACTCCAAACACAACACTTGGACAGCATGTGTGCAAGAACCACAGCTAAAGGGAGTGCAGACCTTGATGAGGTCTGCATGCACCTACAGACCTGATGTGTAACCCCTTAGCAAAAGCATTTCCCAAACTTGTCTGAGCCTGTGAATCACAACAACGTGTTTGTTAAGAACGTGGCTTCCCAGGGATCTCACCCATTAGGTTGACATAAACAGGCAGTTTCTGGGAGTGTGGTCGAGAAGAGACCTACAATATGCAGTAGGTCTCTCAAAATGTCCGAAATTTTCTTTTTTTTTTCTTTTTGGGTCACACCTGGCAATGCACAGGGGTTACTCCTGGCTCTGCACTCAGGAATTACTCCTGGCAGTGCTCGGGGGACTACATGGGATGCTGGGAATCGAACCCGTGTTGGCCACTTGCAAGGAAAACGCCCTAACCGCTGTGCTATCACTCTAGCCCCAAAACATCAGAAATTTTCTACAAAACATAATGCAGTAACTGAGTGCAGAAAAATCTGACTTGTCAGATATTCTTCTGGAAAACTTTGCCTGGGAAAATAAAGCGAGGAAAGTATTATTGATCTTCCAGGCTTCAAAAATCAAAGTATCATTTGGTGGTATCCAGGCACTCTGAATACTTGCGCAGAAGGAATCCAGTTTCCGTTTTTCTTGGTTTTTATATTTGAACTATCAATAACATTGTAAATCACCATTTTATAATCAGATAGAGAAGAGAGCACCAAACGAAGGGTGTTGTGAGGACCCTCCCAGGGTGGGAGAAGCATGCTAAAAATAGTCTATAGACCAAACATGATTGCCATTCAATGCCTCTCTTGCAAAACACAGTACCCAAAAGAAGAGAGAGAGAACAAGGGGGAATACCCTGCCACAGAGGCAGAATGGGACGGGGGGGATGGGGGGTGGTGGGGATGCTGGGACCCGTGGTGATGGATGACGGGCACTGGTGGAGGGATGGGCACTTGATCATTGTATAACTGAAACCCAAGCACAAAATTTGTAAGCCTATAACTGTACCTCCTGGTGTTTCACTAATAAAAAAAGAAAAAATATATAATTAAAAAATAAAATAAATTAAAGACACAAGGTCAGTCATAATGGCTATTTATTCAGTACTTTTAATGTGCAGTATAATGCAAACCACCAGAAGTGAAAATATGCCCATTTAGGGACAGGGTATTTAACACACAAACACACACACATTTTTTAAGAGGTGAGAAAAAAACAGGATCTCAGAACATATATATTATGAAGCTGGAATTCCAATTCAAGGATATCAACCCCAAATCCTATGCTTTTAACCATTCATATAACACTATGCTCCTCAAATATACCATCTTTCAAACCTTAGATTCCCAAATACAGAAACACCTGACAGGCCAGGTGTGTGTTTGTAAAGTTCTGATTTGTAAAGGTCTACTACTTAGCTAATTGGTCTAAACAATCTGATAAAGCTGTCTGAAGGAGACTGGCAGTATTACTATTTAGTTATACAGATAATTAGCCTTCAACTTTTATGTAGCACATGAGAGAAAACACTGCTCAAAAGAACACTAGAAACCGGGTCCATAAAATATGCACCAGTTTCTGTTTTTTTAAGGAGGTGGGAAGGATTTCTGACCAGAGAAATATGTTTAATCATTTGTCTCTAAGGTCAGGGATCAGTGAGCCATTTGATTTCTTGGGCAGAACATGTGGTGACCAGTACGTCCACTCCCTAACTTACTTGCTAATTGGCACTGAATGCACACATAGAACAGTACCTATTAGCTACTGTCAATTATGCCTTGGAATAGATGACAAAAAGAACAAACAGGAACAATAATGATTTGGGCTGGGGGCGCTGTGTGGGTCAGACTATACCCAGCAGTGCTAAGGAATCACTCCTGGCGGTACTCAAGGGACCATAAGCCTTGCTGGCGATGAAACCAGGGTTGGCCTTAGGAACAGCAAGTTCCTTCCATGATGTACTATCTTTCAGGCCTGACAATTACGGTTTTAAGGCCAAAAGACAGCATAGGATGGGAAATGAACCTGACAATGGGGACAGATGTGATATCATTTCAAGTAGGTCCGCTAACACTCTGGCCAAGAACTGGGCTCTTTCCCTGCCACTGGGGAGCTGTGTGGAGGTGGCTAAGATTCAAGATTCAAGATTCAGCTCCACCAATAATCCATCATAATGGCCAAGGAAGGCATTGCTGCTGGAGGTGTAGTGGATGTGAATATGGCTCTACACGAGGTACTGAAAACCACCCTCCTTCACGATGGCCTTGCACATGGAATCTGTGAAGCTGCCAAAGCCTTAGAGAAGCGCCAAGCCCATCTTTGTGTGCTTGCATCTAACTGTGATGATCCTGTGTACATCAGGATGGTGGAGGTCCTTTGTGCTGAACACCAGATCAACCTAATTCAAGTTGGTGGCAACAACTAGGGGGAATGGGTCGGCCTCTGTAAAACTGACAGAGAACGGAAACCCTGTAAAGTGGTTGGCTGCAGTTGCATTGTGGTTAAGGACTACGGCAATTAGTACAGGCCAAGGATGTCATCAAGGAATATTTTAAATACAAGAAATGGATAAATAAAATTTTTGGCATTTTTTGTTTTGTTTTTTATTTGAGGCCATACCCTGTGGTGCTCAGGTTACTTCTGGCTCTGCACTTAGGAATTACTCCTGGCAGTGCTTGAGTGACCATATGGTATGCTGGTGATTGAACTCAGGTTGCCTGCATGCTCTACCACTATACTATTGCTCCGGCCCCAAATTTTTGGCTTTAAAAAATCGAGGAGCTGGGGCTGGAGTGATAGCACAGCGGTAGGGCATTTGCCTTGCACGCAGTCAACATGGCCAACACAGGTTTGATTCCCAGCATCCCATATGGTCCCCCGAGCACCGCCAGGAGCAATTCCTGAGTGCATGAGCCAGGAGTAACCCCTGAGCATCGCCGGGTGTAACCCAAAAAACAAAAAAAAGAAAAAATAATCGAGGAGCAGGGTGGAAGAGGAGGGATATGTGGTGTTAGATTGAAAACATGATACCACTTCTCCTTCTAGGCAAAAACATATGGTGGATGCTATGTGGAAAATAAATTGAATTTAAAGCAAGTAGTAATTAAGCTAAAAGGCAGGACTAATACCTAAATGATAAAATGTTCTTTTAAAGTTGTAACTACACTCCCACCCATTTCTAGACAGGTGATATTGTATTTTAGTGTTTGGCCCAAAATAAATATCTACAAAGAGATGGGTAGTAAGTCAGGAAGTCAGAATATATTCTACAACAGACTGCCTTCAGACAAAGTCATGCAATAGAAAAACACAGTATTTAGACTATTTTTCAGTAGTTCAAGTATCAACAACCAAATTCAAATGTCTAATAAATCAATTCAACTTTGCAAATCCAAATATAATAGATGAAATTTGATCAGACTTCAGAATGCTGGTTAAAATAGTGAATTTGGAAAGGGGGCATACACAGGGGTCCTCAGGGGCCACACCTAATTAGCTCTCAGGGACCACACATAGTAGTACTTGGGGACCATATGTGGTAACAGGATTGAACCATTATCAGGAAAAACAAGTGCTTTATCTGCTGTATTACACTCTCTCTGGCCCCAGAGTTGGGAATTTAAAGTAAATAAGTATACAAAGTTTAAAAGGCCAGTGTGGATGAAAACCTCAGCTTACTTCAGTTCCTGTGTCAATTTCTGTGCAATGTGTATAGACTTACCATTTGAATGCACAGAATCCATACAGATGACATCACAGAAAGGGTATTGGGGGCTGGAGTGATAATACAGTGGGCAGGGCATTTGCCTTGCACGCTACTGACTTGTGTTCAATCCCCAGCATCCCATATGGTCCCCCGGCACTGCCAGGAGTAATTCCTGAGCACGGAGCCAGGAATAAGCCCCGAGCATCACCAGGTATGACCCAAAAAGCAAAAAAATGGGGCGGGGGGGGGGGGTAATTAGTTTAAAAGTCAAGACAGCTATTTTCAGTTTAGTTGGTTACTGGTAAAGGGGGGGCACATGTGGTTTTTGCTTAGGAGTTACTGCTGGCCATGCTCAGGGCACCGTATATGGTGCCAGGGATCAAACCAGGTAGGCCCCATACAAGGCGTAGCTTCCTTAACTCCAGTCCTATCTCTGTGGTCCCAACACAAAGTTGTTTGTTTGGTAACATCCGGAAGTGCCTAGGGCTTATTCCTGGCTCTGTGCTCAGGGTTTACCCTTGGCAAGCTCAGAGGACCATATGGAGTGCTGGGGATCGAACTCAGTTCAGCTGCATGCAAGACAAGTAGTACTATCACTCCAGCCCCAAGCAGAAGTTTTTAAGTTCAAAGTGCAGTATGTTTTGGGACACATGGCAAATATACTCATCAGGAAACATTTTTTTTGAGGCATAACAACTGGAAAAACTGTTCAAACCTGCATTTGAATAGTGCAAATATTATCAATCTTAGAAATGTTTTCCACTTTTTATTACAAAGTATGCGGAAGGTTAAAGTGGCCATTCAAAAATTACTGATTAAAAAGCCCACCTCCTACAGGAGAATAATTAATTCCCCTTTGAACTTAACCCGGTTGAAAATGAACTGGCTCAAGACATGCTCAGGGCAGGAGAGATAGAATAGGGATTAGAACACTTGCCTCACATGTGGCTGATCCTGGTTCCATCCCTGGGACCACTTGTGAGCCCCTGAACACAGAGCCGGAAGCCTCCCCCAAGCACAGACAGTGTAGTCCAAACCCCCAGCCCTCCCACTCCCAAAGACATACTCAGTTTAATTCACAGATAGCTGAAGCACAATGGGCTAAATGGGAATGAATTCAGTCTTAATTTTCCATTGTCAAACTTTAAAAAGCAGTGTGGAGTTATAGCAAGGGAATTAGGAACCTAGACACTGGCAAACTATCCTCTGCTCTACCTGCTAATTAGGTGTGTGACCTTGGGCAAGTAATTTCACCTCTCTCTGTGTCTTAGTTTATAATCTATAAAATCGAGTGGGTTCAACTTCACCACAAACTCCCTGCCAGCTCTAAAGGGAAAATACAATGCGTCCTGCAAAGCGTTCCACTGAAGCCTTAAAGCCCACCAAGAATTACATGACCAGACATCTCTAGTAAATTCTGGGCCAACTAACTTTCCTACCATGCCGGATGAACTGCCAACTTGCCTCACTCGGCACTGCCAACGCTTCTGTTTCACGGGGCACTCATATCTATAGATCTCATTTACAGATCGGAAGGTAGAGCAAATAACACCCTTATTTACAGAAGGCTTGGAGTTTAAAGTCTCACGATTTTAAATAACTACTCCTTGCTCTAAAAGGCGGCCCGAGAGGTGGCCCTGCAGAAAACCAGAGGCGTGCGCTGTTCTGCCTGAACAGCAAAACCCTCCCATGCAAAGGCCTCAAGCCGCCTCCTGGCTTTTAATTCCCTTGAAGGTCAGCTCGGCAGGGCTTGCGAAACTCCTATTTTAGATCCCGCCAATTCGAAATTCATGCAACGGTGACTGTAATCTCCTCCACCACCCCCTCCCAGGGGCGGGGGCAGGGGAGAGGAAGGGAGAATGGGAGAACGGGAAGGGCTGCGGGGCATGGGTAACTTCAGGCGCCCAGGCCTTTGGGGGGAGGGGGAGTTGCTCGGGATGGGTCAGTCACCTGGAAGCCGATTCCTCTGCCTCGGACCCTGGACACACATTGTCCGCACCAAGGGCGCCAGCTTCTGCTTCACAGCACCCGCTGCCAGGCCGCCACACCGGAACATTTCGGCACCGCTACTTCCGACCTGCTTTCCTTTCTTCTCCCACACGCACCGACCGACCGGTCAAACCCTGTAGGACCCAGCCCGCTCACACGCACTCTACGTAGGCTCCTCCTTCCAGCTCCGGGTGGGCATTGGACGGTTCGGCCGACCTGCCAGAGCCGGGGAAGGGGAAGCGCGACAGGAGGCCTACTGCGCAGGCGTTGCCGCTAGGCGCCGCGCCGCGATTGGCCCGCACGGAAAGAGGCGCTGCGCCTGCGCTCCGCGGTCCCACGCTTCCACGGACGCACGCCGGAGTCTCTCGCAAGTGTCTGCGGCTCAGAAGCCACACTGGGGGCTGAGCGGGTTTGGCAAAGTGCCCGAGGAGGAAGCTGTGGGGGTGCTTCTCTGCCTGGCAGCTGTGACTGTGCCAGCGCTCTTGTCAGTAGCGAGAACTACAGCATCTCACAAAAGCATGACCCCGGCACCGCTCTTTGTTTCATTTTCGGTCACTATCTACTACGGACTAAGCCTTCCGGATTCTCTGGCTAAAGTCTACTTCCATTCTTTCCAGAAGTCTTGAGTTTCTCGGATCGGGTTTCTTCTAGTAACCGCTGGCACTTTCCCGGCAGACCACTATTTTGGGGACTCGTAATCCTTCTGCGCAATTTCTCCAAGTAGCGTTTTGTGTTACGCAGTTGGGTCCTAGACACTGTTCCAAGTGCCCCGCGGTGTGCTGCTACTTTCTCTCTAAGAGGCGTTTTGGTTTACGAAGTTGGGTCCTAGATACTGTATCAGGTGCCTGGAGGTCTCCTGCTACTGTAGCCCCAGAAA